TTGTAATTGAGAGAAGAGACAGAAAATATACCTCATTGTCCTGTCTAGGGATTGACCGATATCGGTATCGGTATATTGGCCATATTGGCCTTCATATAAATTGCTTAATATTTCAGTTGCTGAGGATTTCTCCAAGGAAATTAAAACAGAAATACTAAATAAATAACAATTCAAGTTTATTCTTATTCAAAACTTAGCAAAAAAGTCTTTAAAAACGTTGAAGTAAAGTAACTCACTAAGGCCCGGTTTATTCATCTTCAGATAAACTTGCTGGTAACTATCTACATCAAGATAAATTTACCGTTCTGTATTTCTATTGGTCGGCGGATAAGTGGCCGACTAATGGGATTACAAATTGCGTTTTTATCCGTCAGATTGCATACCGCATGATGACAGTTTATTAGAAGGCGAATAAACTGGCACTAAGTTAAAAAAAAAGTAATATTCAATCTTCCATTAGTCGCGCCGTCTGGGAGATACATGCCTATTATTTTTGCAAATAATTCAAAAAGGGAGGACCAATAGGGAACTTTACAATTTTTTTTTTATTTTTTTAAATCATTTATTTATGCCTTGAAAGAGTATTCCCCAAATATTATTCCCTAAAACTCAATAATAACTTGGTGAAAAATGTTTAAAGTTTCGCGCGAATTAAAAGCATTTCAAACGACCTTAAATCTGGATGACGTCACGTAGTATGATTTTGCGTTAAGCCAGCGCCACACGATGTGTCCAACCATTGGCCCCAACGTTAGATCCAACGTTGGGTACAGTGTTTTTTGCTCTAGCATTCGGCAAATGCACATACCTACTTACTTTTGTTACTATAAACATATCACAAATTATAGATTGGCGGATTGCCCTTTGGAATTTCCTTCTTCGGTCATAATTAATAGGTATATCGTTTTATTTATATAATGCTAGGCTAATCATTGAATTTAAGCGAAGTAAACCAATTCTAATATTGATAAAATTTTAAAAAATCAGAGAAAAACGTAAATAAACACAGCTAACGGGTATTTATTATGTCGAGTTCGAGTAAACGCTCGGAGTTGCTGTTTTGTTCTTTTATCCCTGTTCTTCTCATCATAAGAAAAAAAGACGGAAAATGCTCCGAGTGCTCAGTGTTTCAAGACGAACTCACAGTATGATGGACGGTTGCTGACAGACACTGACAAATCATACTACATGACGTCACGACCAGTACCAGAGCGTTTTTTCCCGCTGGAAATAATTTGAATTTTTCTGCATTTTCAATTCCTTATTGTGGCCGTTTGCGACAAAAAAAAATTGTTTTTTTCGCTGATATAGGTTTTCTTATGATTTATAGTAATATTTTCATGTTTAAATTTTTTGTCAAGTTCCCTATTGTACTGACACAATGTTTCTTTGCTTTGTTAAATTGGGGGATTCACCCTATAGATTTTTATTTTTTATTCCGCCGGGTGATTTTACAAAATATCGAATATGCTATGGATTTTCTTTAGTGATTTTATGATGGTTAATCCGTGTATATCATTAAAAATCACTTTTACCTGATTTATACAGGAAAAAATTTATGACAAAATGGTATGGCCGATATATCGGTATCGGCCAATATCGGCTGTGAGTATATCGGTATCGGCTACAAAAAATCATATCTGGCGATCCCTAGACTCCTGTCCTACAGAATTGAATGACAAAACTACAAAACCAAGGGCAAAGCATATTAAACCTAAAACGCCGCCATTAGGGGATATTAAACCTAAAAATGCTGTGCTAAAACCAAGCCTAAAACATAAAACTGACAGATAAACAGGATAGAATAGACAATACTCGTTCATATTTAAGATAATAATTAAATTGAATTCTTGTATTTATTGCTTGCTATTTTTACGTACGAGAATTGTTTGTCTAAGTAGCAATAACCCGAGCAATAACCTTATAGTCTAGGAGGCAGTGACGATTTTCGGTACTTATTTTCCCAGTCAGGAAACATGGATAGAATTGTAGGGTTAGTAGTTCTAAGCAAAATACATATATTTTTAGGGGGGGTTTTCCGATGGGTTGAGGCGCAAAATGCGTTAAAGCTTACCAATGCACGGCCCTTTTTTTTCCCAGTGATAAGAACAGGTCTACTAATGAGAAGTATACTGAAGTCACGTAAAAAAATAGTCCGGCTAATCTGTGAGTATAGATAATATGTCTGGCAAGTGAAAAATTGAAGATCCGAAAATTTTCAGCCAGACTCACTTTCACTATCTGAGATAAGCCAAATTGCTATCTTCATATACTTTATGTTCTATTGTAGTAAATGTGAAATATTTATATCTGGGAAAATAAGCGTACTTGTATTTTTCATTGATCTTGTGAATCCATCCGAAAATTTTAGCCAGACTCAAAAATTCTTGCTTTGTATCACCAGGAGAACAAACTATTCAATAGACACCAACTGGGAAAATAAGTGCTAAAAAATTTCACTGCCTCCTGGACTTTTATACTATTTAGATACCTATGTACACAACCAATCATATTGTAATCGTATTATCTAAAAAAAAGTTAAGTTAAAACAAAAAAACATAGCACACTAAATTCTGTAGTAGTGAAGGTAATTAGATCGAAAAAATAAGAATGATTCAATTGAATAAATAGGTATTTTAAGAATCTTCATTGTACCCTCTCCATGTGGGATCTATGTTTTTCATGAAACAGGGACCAAACAGGGCTCACATGCTTCCAGATATGGCAAACTCTTGGGCAAACTATAGCTGATTAAGCATTTCTTGTTATTACATTCTCTTAAGTTACACATTACAAATTCCAATAATCACATGGCTTTATTGGGGTTAGTTAAGTTTGAATCTTTCAATATGTTCGGAAAAATTCAATTCAACATCTAGATAAATGCCAAGTCGGGTATTTTTTGTAATGACAAAGATTTTCTTGTCATCAGCAAAATTGAGAAAATGACAGCGCTCAAACACATTTTCATCACATTCACATCGTTCAAGAAAAGATTGGAAAGGAAAGACAGATGCCCGCACCCTGCCAAACACCAGGAGTGCGTTCAAAGACGGCAATGCTAATGCCAAAACCTACTTTTCCCCTTCTACCGGCAATACCAAATCTGATGTGAATTTGCTGGAACGCCAAATACCGTTTCTCAATTAGACAATCCAAACCATGTGACATTCAAGATGACGTGGTGTCCACACATGGACGAAAAAACACAAAAAAATATCTGGTTTCTGTCCAACTCAATAGTTTACGTAGCTACAAATATTTTATTGAATAATCAAAATCAAAGCTGCAAGCTAAACTCGAAGCAAAATAATTGAAATATGCATGAAAATTCAAAACTAACTTGCTGGCCGCTACGCCATATTGAATTTGGTCTCATCCAATCATAATTCGTATAACCATTTCTAGACTCAGTTAAAAGCACCTCCAAAAGTTACTTTACCGCGGCCGATTCTGAACGTGTAAAGCCAACCGTTTTTGGCACGCTGGAGCCGAACTTGAACGCAATATGCCAATTTTGGCTTGGCTTTAGCCGTTTTTGAACGCAGCCCTGGGCTCGTATTCTCGAAACCGGGGAACAGTGTTCTCAAGAGAACAATTGCTCTGTCTTTGTCAGTATTATGGAAATAACAATATGGGCGACTAAAACAGAACCTTTATTCTCATGAGAACGCTGCTCCCCTGTTTCGAGAATATGGGCCCAGAAGTGATTTTAATCTCTGATGAAACTGAGTTTTTATTTGATCAACTAACCATTTTAAAAGGGAGCAATGAAACCCTATACTTTGAAGTTTTTTTTTCTAGAATTTTATGGGCAACTCTGTCAAACGCCTTGTTATATATTATGTCTACATGATACTCCACCTCTAGCGCATCAAACAGATGAGTGTACTCAAATTTTAACAAGTTTGAGACTGTGGATTGGTCTTTCATAAAACCTTGTTGTGGTATAATTAATAAAGTAGTTATTTTATCTGACTGTAACTATTCAGTCAAAAAAAAAAATTATTCTCGTTGTAATTGTCACCACTCTTGAAACTTATGGTTACAAAACTAGTCTACCAAATTGATGGAAAAGTTCCTGCGCATAATGATCGGTTAATGATTTTACATAATATGTAAGAGAACAAGTGTATATTCTTTTCAATGACAGAAACTGAGATACCATCTGGACCTGTTTCTAAGTTATCTTTCTGCTAGGAAATCTTATTATGTCGAGTAGTATGTATAACTAATGTCTTTGTGTATAACCCTCTGTATAATTAAGAGACAATGAACCTAAATTACCAGTAATATCACAACACATACTAAAATTCAAAACCATTCAAAACAGTATCAATAACTTGGTGAAATTCTGTGAAAAAAATCAACTTTTTTTTGAACTATAATAACTGTAATAAGTGAAATTTAATCCCGGGGATTAATCTTACAAAACATCACTTTACAGTGTAAAGTGGTCTAGAAAATGACTTATAGCTAATAGGGAACCTGTTGGAGGCTATGTTGCTTTTTTACTCCGTAGGTTGAGAATATGATTGTATATGGTTTGGGTTAGGGATGCACCGAGTATTCGATTTGCCGAATAATTCCCAAATATTCGGCCACTATTCGTTATTCGGCCAGCAGTGATGAGGTATTCGGCGAATATACGGCAATAACTTACAAACAAACAAGTGCACGCGAGTTACCACGGGAATTCACACCAATAAAAATAAAATCAAACCGCCAATAATGACAACCCCAAACTAACCCAACAATCCAACCTTTGAAACAGAAAAAAACTTAAGAAATGATGCAGCCAACAATACACATTAACTGAATATTCGGCCGAATAATGGCCGAATATTCGTCCAAAAAACCAGGCCGAGGACCGGCCGAATATTTGTTATTCGTTCGAGACGATCGGCCGAATATCCGGTATTCGGCCAGTTAGTGACCTAAACTACTATTCGGTGCATCTCTAGTTTGGGTGTCACTAACAAAGATTTTTTTGTTTTCAGATACCTATCTATACCTGTTAGCAAAACATATTGATCGAAAATGGAAAACCTCGCATTTATAAAAGAAATATTTCCTTTTAAATCTGAGCAACAAATCAGGGAAATAATCGAATTGGTTGAACAAGGTAGTTCTTCAGATTCTGCTGAACAAAAATTGGAAAACATATACAATATGCTATTTGGAGATGGTCAGAATGGTCTAAATGGGGCCCAAGCACCAGTTGACACAGAAACCCTAGGTTTAGAGCGTTTTTTTCATGAATCAGATGATGACGGGGATGATGAAGGAGCTGTAGGTTCGGAGGAATTTTATTTTAATATATGTATCATTTTATTATGTAAATGAATTTTCAGGCTATTGCCAAAATAATGATCAATTAAGTGGCTACCTGAATCAATTGCAAAGTGTATTTCCTGATGCCTCTGAGGAATTTCTATGGGATTTTTGTAGGGAGAGAAGCAGGGGTTTTGATTTAAATACCGCTATTGATGACTTAACCAGAGGTGAGGATTGCCTTGATTATTTGACAAAAATTATTCAACATTAAAAAATTTCAGATGGATATGACCGTAAAATTGTTGATGCTGATTTCATTTGGAATAGGCTGAAAGATGCTTTACCTGAAGCCGACCCTTCCTATTTGAAAATTCAAGCTGAAAGATTAGTTTATGAGGAACCAAGAATGTTAGAAGAATTTGTAAATGAGGCTTATGAAAATAATGATTATCCCACTATGGAGAGCTATGTAAAGTATGTGCTTGTTTTGGTTTTGAAATTATTTTTGATTTAATTTTTTTTTTAAAGGAGAAAGCAAGAAGAGGACATATTAAACATCTACAAGGAAAATTACCAATTAGACAAGTTTCTGAAAAAATTTATGGAAACTTTTGCAGACCCTGAAAAACACTTTAAAGACCCCGACCGTCAAAAACCCTTGCAGCAACCTGATACCCCCGAAGAAGATTTTTTATATGCCAGAACCTTTTTATACAACCAATACCCTTATATCCGTAAGAGGCATATAGAACTGGTTTTCAAAATGCAGAAAAAGTCCCTAATGGATTGTTGTGAACACCTGAATAAAATTGTGAAAGGTCTAAAGACAAAAAGAGCTTTGGTGCCATTACCTGAAAGCAATAATCTGCCGTTGCTGCAAGAAGTAGCTTATTTGAAACACCGCAGAGTAATCAGGAGACTTTTAAAATACAAAGATGATGTTTACAAGCAATTCAAAGAGGAGGCTAGAGCATTGGGGATACTGGAAACTTGTGGCGTTTGTGAAGAGGAGGAACTTATCCCAGAAGAATGTTTTAATTGCAAAAAAGGTTGCGTGTTTTGTAAGGATTGTGTCAGGAAATATGTGGAGGTTAGAATGGGCGATGGATTTACAACTTTCCCTTGTTGCAACGATTGCGACTCAAACTTTAGTTTACATATTTTACAGGTGAATATTTGTTCACAAGTTACTTTGGAAAAATATATTATTTATGGTTTTTAGATGGTGATTCCACGAAATAACTTTGAAAGGCTTGTGCTCAAAATCCAGAGTGATGAAATTAAACAAGCCAACATTGATGGTCTGGAAACTTGTCCTTTTTGTGATTTTGCGAGCATTCCACCTGAAGAAAGTACGATTTTTAAGTGCGAGAATCCTGAGTGCAGTAAGGAATCTTGCAGGTACGCTTTTTACATGTGACTACAGACATCAGCAGCTAAGGTACTCAATCAAATGTGTTGAAATTTAAAAAAAAAATCAATCTAAAGTTTTATTAACAAAAAATAATTCTTTAATCTTTCAAAACAAAATTATGATGTTGGCTTACCCATCCAAAGTTATCTAGCTGGTGATTAATAATGTCCGGACAAAATACCAAATGATTACTTTCTTTGCAATCACTTACTCCGGAGTATTACAGGACAGGCTATTTAAATACTATAATTTATACAGATAAAAATTAGAATAATTACTTTTATAATAATCTGAACACTATTTATTTGTCCCCAATAACCGAAAATGAAACATATGGTTATTACTATGAAACTAGTTTGATAGAGGGCAGTCTGATGGTAGGTATATATTATAATTCTATATATATGTGAAAAAATGTGGTTATTCAGGCAATTAAACTTTTTTGAGAGATTAAGAAATATACTTAATAGATTAAACGAGCTTACCTAAGTGAAGTGTGAAGTTCTATCTTAATTCTATGAAGCGCCTTTTCATAGAGATTAGAGAAATAGAAAACAGGTATTTAGTAAACCCTGTCTACTGAAATTTCTACAAAATTCAAAGCAAAATATCGAAAAAAAATCGATATCTTGCCTTGATATTGCCCATCCCTAATTAAAGGGATTAATTGCATAGCAGCCTCTCGGGAAAGCGTAAACATCAAGGCGTGAAACACTTCATCGGGAAGGTAAAGGAACAAGCACGGGGCAGGACTCTCCCGGATTGTAGTGAAATAAAAAATTATAAAGTTTGCAGACAAATTGTTAAGGGCAACAATAAACACATATGATTATTGGGGAGGGTGGGACTAATCTCTACAAAAAGGCGCTTCATAGAATTAAGAAGAACTTAACTTATGTAACCCTCAGGGGCAGGCGCGCTATCGGCCTTTTATGCCGCCTTTTCACTAATTCAAGGATTGTCTATTGTCTAGCTATGTTCAAATGACTATATCAGCAAACCTACTACGCACAATTTACGACCTTAGAGCGCTTGTTCAGATGTCAGTGAGTTCTTGAACTTGCAAGTGTTGAGTTTTCGGCATTCCGTGCCGCCAGCCATAAATGAAAAAATGGAATTTCTGGATGGCAAAAACAATAGAGAGCATTTCTTTTTTAATTTGCGCGTACCTTTGTTCAGATGAAGTGAGAATTTGTGAAGCGCATGCCGCAAGGTGTCCCTCCTGCAAAGGGCAGGCACCAAGGCCGTCCTTTGATGCATCAGTTTCTATTTCAATTTCTGTGAATCAAAAAACTTTAGTACAGGTGCGGATGTTAAAAGTTTTTTAAGTTGAAAAGGAAATTGCTTATGAATGTCCTGCCATTTCCAAACACAATCCAGTCTTCTTAACTTTCTTAGTGAAGCAGTAATATTTGACAAATTTGGTATAAATTTACCCAAATACTTTGCCATATCACGGACCCTTAATAAATCATTTCTGTTTTTTGGCTCTGGCAAATCAAGAATTGCTTTAACATAACATCTATTTGGCTTTACCCCCGCCTTTGAGTAAATTGGTCCCATAAATTTCACATTTTTCATTTAAACTGGATTTTCGAAGAATTAAATTTAATATTACAGTTGAGAGCCCGTTCAAGTACTAAATGTAAATTATGATCATGTTCGAAATTATTTTCACCTGGCCTATAAGATCATCAAAATAGAGCCCTACGCCGTCCAAGTCCCCAAATATTTCAGAAAATTTTCCTTTGAAAGACTTCCGGGGCAGAACAAATGCCAAAAGCTAAACGCAAAAATTCAAATCGCCCATATGGTGTGCCAAAGGCTGTGTACTTTGAACTTTGATTGTCAGTTTTAATCTGGAAATAACCGTCTTTCACATGAAGCACCGAAAAATATTCTTCATTACATAACTTGACAGCAATTTTGTGAGAAGTTGGAATTAAAAAATGTTCACGCTGAATTGCCTTATTCAAATACTTGGAGTCTAGGCACAACCTCAAGTCTCCATTACTTTTTTCTACTATGACTAAAGGATTCAGCCACTCAGTTGGTTCGTCAAGTTTTTTAATTACACTTTGAACTTCAAGTTGCTCTAGTTTCAATTCCAATCTACCATGCAATGCTCTAGGAACTCTCCTGGGAGGCTGAAAATGTGGAACGGCATCTTTTTTCAAAGAAATATGATGGCTCAGTTGGAAACTGACCTAAACTATCAAAAACACTAGCATACATTTTCTTAATATCTTCGAGAGACTTAAAATATGACATTGAGTCCTGGAGTAATACTAACTAATCTATTAATTAGTCTTAGCTTTAAACATGCAGATAACTGAAGCAAAGGTAATTGGTCAGTGGAGTCAATTACTAAAAAATCAAGAGTTGCTTGACAGTTGTTGACTTCGCAAGACAAACTTACTTCACCCCGAGGTTTTATTCTGAAACCGCTACAACCATATGACACAAGGGTTATTTTGGTTGGTTTTAAAAAGAACTAATGGACTCTGAGATAGGGCCTGTTTAGTGGAGTCATTTTTTTTTTGTCTGGCATATTAAGGGCGAAATGTGGCTAGTTTGCTGATGAGAATATCAGTGGTTTTGATGTCTTCGAAACGTCCACAGAATGTTTCGCCGGAAAACTCGATTTCGAACTGTGATTACCGTCTGGCGTTATTTTCACAGCAAAACCTCTTATTCTCTCGATTGCCAGACAAAAAGTAAACGCGGAAGGTTCTTTTCTTTTCTCTTGGAAGTTGACACCCATCCCCACTTTTTCAGCTATTGAAAAGCATCTGGTATTTTTCATGGGTGAATTATTTATCAATATCAATCTTTTATTTAAAAGCCAGGAAATTGGAGATCATTAAGGTTTAAAGTCAACCCCCATTTTCTGAACCTTGTGTTCAAAAATTCCAAAACAAATATATGTTTTATGGTTATTGATATACTTTAATCCATAATTTTTTTAAGCAAATTTGACTCGCCATTTTTGAGTTATATCGCAAAAACTGAAAAAAAAGTGGTTTTTCACCATTTATTTCAAAACGAATAGATGAAGTTTCCCGTTATTTTTATTACGAACTACTATTGCAATTTTACGCGACATATATTTTTTTCAAATTTTTTGAACTTGTAGTTTGTAGTTTTCTCGCTACTGCAAGAATAGTTGGAAATACGCCTGTAGCTACACTGTTTAAAAATAAATCCGACGGATGAACGTTCAAAATTATTTGTGTTGGTCCAAACTACAACCCTGTTTATGTAAAACAGAATAATACTTCGAATTTCCGCAAAAAAAATCACACAATTTAACCAAATGCAGATTTCTATTTTTTTTTTACTATCAAGTTAGGGCACACTATAGGGGCGACAGTACTGACATCTCGCGTTGCTGCAATAAACTATAGGCCTGACTTTAAACCTTAAAAAAAAAAAAAATCATGTAAATCAATTTTTTATTCTCCAAATTTTCGAACGGGGAGCATGCATTAAAATCACCCATATTCTCGTCAGCTAACTAGCCACATTCAGCCCTCAAAATGCCAGACAAAAAAAAGTGACTCCACTAAACAGTTCCTATCTCACAGTCTATAACTTTTAACTCTCTGAGAACATGTAGAGGCAAAAAAACACTTACCTCAGCACCAGTGTCAAGCTTAAATTCTACCTGATTTTTGTTCTTGATCTGTACAACTTCTGTCGTCACTCTCCATCTCAGTTCGATTATCTCTGCTGTTGCACTCACTGATCACCTTATCAATTTTTCGTAACTGCACAGAACTAAGTCGACACAGTGAAAGACTCACTTTCACTAGAACTGTCACCATTACTTCCTCTTTCTGTTGTATGCTTTTTCTCCAACTTGTGTACAAGCTTCCTCCATGACTGTTTCTCACTAGATTTTTTGTATGGCTTACTAGAACCTTCACCAAGACACATTACTGCAAAATGGTTTTTTCCTTGGCAAGCTACACATGTTTTGCCATATGCAGGTCATTTACTATTTAGTACTTATGTGTTTATAACCACAAACTTTGGCCATGACTTGAACTACCTCCGGTTTTTTATCCAGTCCAGACGCCGTCAAAAACACATCAAATTTTTGAACAACTCTAATTATCGGCTATATTGCCATCAGCACTTAATAACCTGACACCATGTCTTATATCGTCAAGGGATATAAATAAAATAACTATTAATGTGTTTTAACTCGTACTGTTTTATTAAGTCCCATGCCACATGCAAGGGGCAGCTAGACAACAAAACTTGTCAACGTATTACTACCATCACAAGTGGAAGCCCCACTAAAACAGCTTCATGGTCAGATAGCCCCGCTGACAAAGAGTTGGGTGATACTTCGGACTGGTTACATGCATTTGCAAGCTTAAAGACCGAAATATACATATATAGAGTCTCAAAAAAGTCGCGCATAATACCTGTAACTTTTCATTTTCAATACACGTGGTGAAAGTACTTTTAATCCACGTATTGAAAGTAAATTGTTATGTCAATCACAAATAATGTCAACAGTATTTTTCACACGTGTGCTGAAAGTACTTTTAGCACGCGTATTGAAAATACTTTCAGCACGCGTGTGATATTTAGCGCTTTCCAAAGAACCAGCTAGTGCGAATTTTGTCATTTTCGTTTGTGGTCGTAGGAAAATATGTTTTCGATAAATACAAAATTTATTTTTCTAACTTCTATCACGGCTATTGGTAAACCCTATAGTAAGAAGAACAAATTTCTATTTTTCAACTTAACTGTATGTTACTTTGAGGATGCGAACTCATCGCTAAAAAAAATCACTTACCGATTGCTTGTTTGTCAAATTATTCTCTGATTGCGAATTTTCTGATAGTTCTGAATTTGAGTTCTGTTGAACATGTATCAAATTGTAATGAGACCTAGCACTAGATTCAAAACCAGTTAATGGATTTTTCAGGATTTTTATTAAGGTTTTTTAAATTTTCTAATAGGCTATGTAGACACGAATCCCACATACCAATGAGATGCAACGAAATAGAATATGATGAAGATGTGAGAAGGAGAACTTATATTGAAAATATGATGACCGAAGCTCTGGCAAGGTACTAACCTTTTGGATCTTGTTTTGCGAGTACCTAATTAAAAAATACACTATTTTTTCTAGAACTTGCTACAGATGCAAAAAAAAATTCATAAAATCCAATGGTTGCAACAAAATGACATGCACCTGTGGAGCTATGATGTGTTACCTCTGCTCACAACCAGTAGATGGTTACAATCACTTTGGTGGCAACAATCCGTAAGTACTTTTAATTCAGGTTTCTTTGATTTTTTGTTTTTTCAATTTTGATAAGTGAAATGTATCATTCGGATTCAAATTATTTTCAGGTGTCAATTAACTACAAACGATGCTCAAATAGATCTAAGCCGAGTCCGTAGAGAAGCAGAACGTGCCAAAAATGCCTTGGGCAATGTAGAGATCAAGTTTGATCCTAGTGTGGGCATTGAAAATTATTTTAATGCCTGAATAACTTTCAAGGATTTTTTGCTCAACTTCATAATGCCAAAACAGTACTGACTTTTTCAGTTTATAGTTTATTAATGCTTGGCTGTTAAATATTAATTCCTTTTAAGTTTTTATGGTTAATAATAAATAGTTATTGTTTATTTTATGGATATTCAGGCTGTAAACGTATAATGACAATGTGTTTAGATCCTGATACAAATTATTTTTTAGTATAAGGGGCCAAATGCATTCAAGCAATTTAGTATCATAATTAAAAGTCCTTTTTATATGGACCTGTTATGTTTAGTTATTTTTTATTTTGCTTATATCCTATTCACAATCCGTAGTCCAAAGGTAGAGGTAAATTTATCACGTTTCCCCTTTCCCTATCAAATAGCACTGGAAGGTGATTTGTTTGGCGAAATTTTAGCTCTACCTTTGGACATCGGATTGTGAATAGATAATACCTATTATGTAAAATTCCATTTATTTTTTTTGCGATTAAGGTTTTGCTTGTAATAAAATTTTAAAACAAAATTGTTGCTGCGTATTTTTACTACAAGATAAACAAGACCATTTGACTCTTAGAGTTTTCCATCTGGCTTCTGAGTTCTTAATAATATTTTGGAATCAAACTAATATGCCTAATCTTTTGAGCATATTGGCGATGGATGATAGTTTATTTTTGGCCTGCGTTGACAATCTGAAGATCTATAAATCTTTTTCATACATGTCCTTTCACCATACAACATTTTCTAATGAGTTCCATGCTGATCTTTGCTGACCAGTCTGGGCTGAATCCAGTTTTTTCTTGGTTCTATTTCTCAATTCCTCTCTGGTTTTCTTGTATCAATATGTTTCTACATAATTCTCACCCTACAATCAGGAATAATTTTCTCAATTCACTTATTTGTTAAATTGGGCTTGGGTTTGTCACTAATGGTTGTAGAGTTTTCAAGAAAAATTCTCCAGAGCTTCTTTGAGTCTCCACCAAAGCAATACATTTCAAATTACTGCAACAACATTGTCAACATTTTAATCGCCTATATGTTGTTATTTGTTGTGGTATGATACATTATGTTGCTATCGCGTTAAACAAAAGTTTGTTGTGTTTCGCTTTGGAATGTCTATGGTATGAGAAGCTTTGTCAGGAAGTTGCATTTGGTTTATTTCTGTTTTCCGAATCAGGGGGTCTATTTTCCAAAGTAAAATCTCCATATCATAACTAGAAACTAGACATACGAAGCATGTTGTTAAAACTGCCATCTGTTCGAAGTTATCCCAGGCGGTCAGGTGATTGTCTTCTCGCAAATCTTCCAACAATTCATTTCCTCCTTGTGTTTATCTATTTTTTAAACTTCGGTAAAGCATTGGGCAATGGAAATATCAGATGAAATGTGCCTTAAAGGCTAAAGGTATTTATGCGGTCCCATTTAGACTCTTCCCAGGTCTAAGAACTCCGAAATTAACTGAAGACCTTACAGCATGGTGCAAGAAAGATGCTTAAGCTATGTTTGAACAAACCTCAGTCATGAACGTTGATCAGATAACATTGATAGAAAGTTGTGAAAATACAAATGATATTGTCTACGTTTGAGTCAATCTTTGAACTGACGTCAGAGTCGAATAAGATGTGTCATTTAATTTAGGAAAATAAGGAGGGGGGAGTTTCTCTCCTTGCTAGATGCACATAACTTAACAGTCATAAATACTCTATACCTAAGTTCAACTGTTTTGGAAATATTGACAGTTGAAAATTGACTTGAACAATTTCTGAGAAAGAATAAAATATGTTGGACAGCTCACTAATGTATATTGTCAAGCCAAAGAATAACACCCACTATAATATTAATAATATTATAATTCGAAAGTTCATTGACATGTCGTATTGTTCTAATTTAGTTTCCTGTACAACAGGATAAACGATTATTACCATATTGTCACAACTGCCCGCTTTACGGGGGTGACATGGGGGGTTTGTAGTTTTGGGGGTTGATGGAGAGAAACTCGCTCAGGTTATATAAAAATATAGATATATATTTTCCCAAATATGCCCTTACATGTACGCTAATCCTATAAGATGCAGGACCCTTCGAACATTGGGGTCCTTATAGGGAGCCACACGTCAACGCTGCTTGGGGGACTGTAGATTAGTTATCGCCACCCTTATGCCTTGTCCAGAGGGGCTTTCCCAACGAGAGGTAATTGCACTGGACAACGATAAGGCTGAAGATACCCAGAGGGGCTTTCCCAACGAGAGGTTTTGCACTGGGGAGACTTAATTCCAGAGGGGCTTTTCCAACGAGAGGTACTTGCACTGGCTTAAGTCTGCCTCTGGCAATTAAATTAATAAGGGTAAATACCGGGTCCTCCTTTCCTAAGCAGCTAGTTGACAATATTGAGCAATACTGGCATTGCAATGAATAAGTAGACGCATCAGCATATCAGCAATAAACTTGGTGTAACGACCCAAGTTTGAGGAACCAATAATTTCTTGCTGACAATAGGAAATCGACTTGGATCGATAATTCGATTTTCCTAGTCAGTTGGGTCTTACAGCTGAAGCAGATGAAAAAGCTTGAGCCGGGTTCCCTAATAACACAGTAACATCGCAGAAACATTCCAGAAACATCCATCAGGGATAATGAAGACGTCCCTGGGAGGTCCCTATTTTCCTGGGGACATCCCTGGGATGTTGCAGGCAACAGCCGTGTCATCATTTGCGATGTCCTATAAACATCTCTCAGGGATGTTTCTAAGATGACGCGGGATGTACCTAATACATCCGGGGCAGGTGTCAGAAACATCCTCTATATGTTTCTAGTATGACTTTAATAGGTGAATGAATTTTAGGATTATGGATTAAAAATTACCTAATTCAATAATTTTCAATTTTCGTTCTATTTTCTGGAAGTCAGAACTTTTTCCAAAAAAAAAACAAAAATTGAAAATTATAAAATTAAGTAGGCACATCAGTTTCCAATAACATTTTTTATTGAAAAAATAAGGTACATGTATACTTATATTGATTATCTATCAACTAATAATAATCGACGGACAATTTTGCCTAAATAATGTAGTATTTATGCCCCGTCATGTCATCGAAAACCAAAGTTTGGCAGTGGCAGCATGTTGTAGTAGGGGAGTTCGGCGTTTTCTTTTTTTTTTGGTGCTCCAATTTCATAAAGGTACCATTATCTAACCAAAACAACCACAGAACCAAAATCCAAAGTTCTTGAAGTACAATTCAACTTGCACACCTAGAATGTAATCAACTATGAAAACAAAAAATAATTATTGGTTATTTTCTCTTACCTAATGAAGAATGAAGTTCGGGTTTCTAGGGGCTATTTATCAGAAAAGTTAGAAATTTCCTAACCGACGCCATATTGAAATTAAATAAACTAAACAATTGATAGTTATGCGACGTTATCTTTCAACAAATAATCTTTCTCACCAACTAATAAGCACTGGTAGGTCGCAGAGATCCTTTCGAACACAAAATGGCACAACTAGGTGTAGCGAAAAACCACAAATTGACAAATCCTCCACACAGCACGACGCCATTACGAAATAAAATTCCGCCCAACAACACAAGCGTAGCGCACAGGACGACCCGTTCGACTGATTCTGCCCGTCTGCGCTGGCTGCGGCGCCGACCCGACGTGGTGGCGTGCCCTCCTGTCCTGACCGGTACAAGTACAAATGCCTGAGCACGCGCCTGCGCCATACACTTCGGCTTCACGAATATTCACGATGTTTGAAAGTTGAAAAGAGAGAAGACTTTTATCAATACATATTTTATTTTATTCCAAGTTGTAAGTCGAATGAAAAATTAAATATTGCTGTTGTTACAATACAAAATTAATATTAAGTTCCTTATTATCTATATACATTACAGGTATATTATGGAATTTGAAATTAGTTTGTGTGTGTGATAGAGACATTTTCAGAAATCACACAAAATTGGCAAATTTAATACTGGGTCCTACCGGTCTGAGGTCCTACCTAGTTTTGTAAAATAATGTTAGCCATTTTTTAGCTGTAATAAGTATCTAATTTTGAGAACAAAAAATCTTTTTGTCGATAGATATTTTCGAAAGGATGTTTCTAAAACATTTCAGGACAATCATCCTAGAGATGTTACATTACAAACATCGCAGCGATGTACCATTTATGTCGGAAACATAAGGACCTTAATGGTACATAAATAGGATGTTTCTGGGAGATCGGTGTTATTAGGGTTATCGGGCGAAAAAAGTTCAAGTTTACGTTACAGAAAGATGGATTTCCAGCGGTAAGTCATTTGTCAATTTGTAAACTCGTCATTTTAAATTAATAAAACTCACATGATACTTTCCCTTATTTTATTATTATTTATTTTATTTTGTGAGTAATAAATAGGCATTGTTATTTTACATTTGGTTTTCATTTTGGACTACACCAATCATGACAAAACAGGTTGTGACAATATCATTTGCACATCCATTGAAATATTTGTTTACCTCAGTTTACCTCATCAGGGTTTAACTCAGTAGTCAAAACATTTTTACTGTTGCTAGTAAGCCATCGCGATTTCATGAATTTTCAAAGCCTACTGTTGGCTAAATCCTTCTTCGAAAACATTGAATTAGAGACAAAACATGAAGAAGTGGACTATCACGTAAGGCTATGATAAAAACACGCACTTCTTGTACCATTTCTGAAGGCAGGGAACCAAAAGTGTGAAGTTTTGGAACGTCCCCGTATCACTCATAACGTGAAATGTCACAAATAAATCAAAGAGTTCCATCAGTCAAATCAAATTCGTAAATAAGGCGGTCCATTTCAAGATGCCTCCATTTATGCGAAAAAAGCGGAAATTGTAATGAATGGATGCCTATTTGATATGCCAAATATGCGGTGAAAAATTATCGTTTAATCCAGAATGTCCTTGTACTTTAGGCGAGCATCTTATCCGAAAGCATCCTCGAGTGGAAATGACTCATTTTTCAAATGATAATTTCTGTGTTTGTAGCAGTAATTCCTCCAAACAAAAATTGAAAAAAAAGTGTAAGTGCAACTATAGTAGGTATAGTGTTTTAATCAAATTGGAAAAACTGTTACAGGTCCAAAATCTGATTTACCTTGCGACTGCACTTACTTTGAGAAACCCAGAAGAAAAACGTGCATTTTTAAAACTTCAGGTTCGTAGTTGAATTACTGGAGTACAGTTATTTAAATCTCGTTGTTTATTATTATGATTTTCAAGTTGAAACATGGAAGCCTGGACCTCTAAGAGTATCGTGTCCGCATTGTGGTGCTCTGGCAAGGCCATGCATACGACGGCAGAGAAACAGAGTAAGTTGAAGTAAGTAGTTTAGAGAAGTATTGTGAAAATTATTTCAGATTTTTCTTATTTTTCAATAATCGATGTGTCGTTGCTCGCCGACATAACTTGATTGAATATGATATACCGATTATTGAACATTCAAAACTTTTTTTTTTTTTTAATTTAATACCGAACTTTAATAGAATCCCATCAGAACTATGTTTTCTTGTAGGTTGCCTATTCTCCATTAGGTGCTTTTTGTCTCCTTGTTTGCTGGCCTGTATGTTTTCTACCCTTCTTGATGCCCGAAAGTAGTCAAATTCAGTTGTTTTGTAAAGAATGTGGTGCCTTTTTAGGTGAGACAATGTCGACAATGATTTGAGTATCAAAAATATCTATTTCGGTATTTTCAGGTGAGTATGATAGAAAATCTGGAAGAATGAAATGTCCTCCGTGCCCGATAAATGAAGCATTTAATATCAATCAGTTACCTCCAATGTGTTAGAATATAAGTTAATTTGAAAAACAACTTTATATTAATTGATTTAGAGGGTAGATGATAACTATTTTTAAATATCCAGAATTTTGATAAAATGTTTGGTTTATCGTTTGTGTTCTCCAAATATAAACGACACACACTCGTCGGTTATTGTACAGAATAGGTACTGTAGTAGTAGGTTAACTGGAACTTTATTGTATCGTGGCGAGATTTGATATAAGTGACCTCTCATATAGAGTTGTTTTGTGAAGCGGAGGAGTGATTGTAAGTTTATAGTTTATAGTATTTTTAATACCTATATTTGGAAGTATCAGTCGTTCTAGTTACTTAACATATTTCGCTTCTTGAACACATAAATAAAATTAGGTTAAAAATTTCCTATTTATTAGCCTATCCAAAACACGTGACTTTGACAAGCAAAATATGGTCGGCAAAAGAAACACAAACTACTATTTACATACACTATTTCAATACACTATTTCTAACATCAATAATAATAATAATAGTCTTTATTAATAGCCCATTTGCTAGCATAAATACCTACATACAAACATTTTCCCTAAAATCTAATTACATATTATTTTTAATTTAATTTTTTTTTGCTTCTCACCACAGCATAACCCAACTTATTTTTGTTTGCGCATTCAATCGACGTAACATTATTATTTTATAGTATTTTCGGTTTTGCTGCTCCCAGGGGCCGGATTCACTTCTCAGGGAGTAGAGCTCCCCGAGAGAATACATTCTCCGTCTCTACCATACTCGTTCACTTTTCGATTACGTTGACAAGGACAAAACATTTGTTCTATCGGGGAGCTCTACTCTCTGAGACGAGAATCGTGCCCCTGAGCGCTCTCTTTTTGGGCGGTGACGTCACAGATCTCTGCGGAAGTGCTCCGAAAGCTATTATGATCCAAGCGAGGGCACCCTATTTGAAATCAATAGCCGAACGTATTTTAATTGTTTTGTTTTGATCAATCATTGATCTATCGAATTTGACGGAGCAAGGAATAGCGCTCCGTGCGAGATTTGAGAGCGTTTATTGCTCAAGTCGAACTCGTGAATCCGTTTCGGATTGCTTTTTGATCAATCGGAAGCCGTTTTGAGACAGAAGTCGGAAGCGCTATTATGATGCAGGGTGAGTTACTAAGCGCGCGATCGTCCATATCTCCTATACTAACGGATATCGAAGAAAAAACTAAATACAAAACTTTTAAAGTTTTTTTTTTTTTAAGATAAAAGTCAAAATGACATTATGTTGGCAATACAATGTAAAATTGTTATTGCTCCCAAATTTTTTATGTAGAAAAGGTTTGTGTTACCAACATAGTTACTAAATTTTTGACTTGGGGAATTATCTTTAAAAAAAAAACAGACTTTAGATAAACATGAGTACTACACTCCCAAATAATTTTCCAGTATACAGGGTGGCGCAATAAGTACTGGTGATACAAAGTTATGTTTTTTTAAATGACTCCCCCTGTATATTATGTGTTACAAATAATAATAAATTTTGTTACTTTAAAATCCAAATCAAAATCAAAATATGCTTTATTGTTTAAAGATACAAATCTTGATAACAAAGCTTCCAAAATACAATAGAAGACAAGAAAACCTAAGGTCGTGGAATTCAAAAAATTAAGATAACGTGTAGTCCCTTTATGTGCAAATGAAACCACTCAAAATCCTTCAAACAATAATTTTATTTGATATTTAACAATGTTATGCAACAGTAAATGTTACTGTAAAATTCTAATGTTGACAGCTTGGTTTTTCCGGTGAATCTGATACCATATACCTTTCCAATCCGGAGCTCTTCAATGGGTGTTGGGGTTTCACTTTCGTGAACTGGAGCTCTTCGTGTTGTTTTCTGTGTCCAGGAAGAGGATAGATTGCTGGGGTGACGTCACTCCATTTGATCCAGACTCCAAGCAGTGATCTTTATGACTTTATGTAGAATGGGCAGTATCAGGTTCACCAATATTTGGAATACTTATTAAATTCCTGAATTCTGTCAAGAGAAATTGAGATTGAAATTTAATATAAAACGATTGTTGTACAGAGTACAGACACTCCTTTCAACAGAATCAGGTATAAACAGTCATTGCAAGTTGAGAAAAAAAATTGATATTTTAAGGAACTGTCTAGAACTACATAGAATCCCGGGGATCGCTAGAAAAACGCAAAATCCCGAAGAGGCGTGGCTTAATAACGCCGTTCGGGACATTACAAAAATATTTCAGGGAACTTGCACACTAAATGAAATATGGAATAAATAATAAAACACAATAAGAGTCATCCTAATAAATGATGTAATAAGGAAAAAAATATAATATCTTATCTCTTGTGTCCAAAATCTTCAATTGAAAATACCAAATAATTCGAAATTCATGACGCGATCAAAAACGTGTTTCTATGGGTCGTGACGTCACAAGGCAGTAAAAATCGGGTCGCGCCGCTGCCACGTCATGTGCTGCTGGTGTCGCCAATAGTTGTATTCCTTTCAAGAGCTTGAAACACTCGAGCTACTCGCTTCGGTGTTTAGTCGCCCCCGATTTGCAGGGAACAGATGCGTGGTGCAACAAACACTTTTCGAAAGGAATAAGCGCGTGAAGCCCCGGAGCTGTTCCGGAGCTCCTCCCACGCGTGAAAGGAATACAACTAATGTCAAATCTATCAAAAACTATATACATAACGCATAACAATATAACCATAATCTTAATCTACCTGCTCGAAGGTCGAAGTGCTCGTCACTGTCATCGGAATTTTGTTGCCGAGTGACGTCACACTAATCGGTAATTTCAAATGGCGATGTTTCGAGCGTAACTTCAAATATTTATAAACAATTAACGGCTGATTTTTAATGCTTGATATTTGGCATGACTATGTCTCTAGTGTAGTAGAACACATTTTTGGAATTAAAAAAAAAATGTGCAAGTTCCGTATTGTTTATGTATTATTTTTTTATCCTATACACCTAGGTTAGATTAGTTAACTGCTGTGTGTTTTGGGCAGTTTTGGCTGAAAATTTGTATCCTTTATTATGGGGTTAAATACAAATGACAAATTTTGTTCATAAAAAGAATTACAAGATGCTATATTGATTTATATGAGAAAGAAAATAGGGTGCAATTATGGAAACGGGGTGTAAAAACTATCACATCCCCGAAGCATCATGCCCCTAATTTATACAAGACAGTTAAAGATAAACCTGATAAGTATAAGATGAAAGAGAAGGAGAAATAAAAAACGACAGAAAATACACAGCGACCAGCAAGGGCAAAACCCTTTGAAAAATATTCTTTTACCAGTAAGTGTTAAATTATCGTAATTGGTATATATTTGCAATTTAATGGAAACAATTAAACTTCAGAACCCTATTAAAAGTCGAGGCAGACCTAGAGGCAAGAATTTAACGGCGATAGGCCCAGTGTTGTCGAAGCTACCGAAATTTCGGTATTTCTACCGAAATGGCAACGGATCTACCGAAATACCAAATACTGAAGAATTTCTACCGATTTTCGACAATAATTACGATTCTACCGATTTTTTAAACGTTTTTTGCCAAAAAATCTATTTTATCGGTTTTGTTTTCACCGATTATCCTATCGATAACCGCACCCGATCTACTATCGAATTGTTTTTCCGTGTCAGAACTGTCAGATGTCAAATAGATCCTCCGACGACAAATTTGTTAGCAATGGTTGGCATCAGTCGGTATCAGTGCATTTCTTTCGGGGAATACCCGTGGGTCCAGTGATATCCGAATTTGTTTTTAATATCTCATCGTCATTGCCCCATTCTTCCGCCAATGTTGAGCGCACATTCTCAGCAATAAATCGAATGAAAACAGCACAAAGAAATAGACTTTTTACGAAAACAATTACTGGGCTTCTACATATTCAACGAAATAAAAAACTTAAAGCAAAACACGGCTGGATTTTAGTCTTTATGTTATACCCACTGTTTTAAGGTTAATGGGCAGAGCGGAAGACAATCTCTGCAGATTCTGCTCAGACGCAATAGAAACCGCAGAGCACCTGCTCTGCGAATGTCCAGCCCAATTCTGCAAGAGGCTCAAATTCCTCGAGGGGGCAACACTGTCACCAGAAGAAGTGGGCCAACTGACACCCAGGAAAATAGCTTCCTTCGGCAGAAGTCTACGCTTCCTGGAGACAAATTAAGATGCAGAGTCACGCACAAAATATCTGCAAAGGTAGCAGTGCTGAGCGGCTGAAAAGCCGAAACGACTCCCCCGAAATCTACAATCTACAATCTATACCCACTGGTTAATACATACTACTACTACAGGATAGCCTATCTTCATAAGACTTGTGTAGAACAAATCTGAAGCCCCCCACTACGCCAAATCACCAGTTGTGACGTAGGCAGCACGTTGTTTCTCGCCTTGACGTAGGCTGTTTACATCACAGGTTATGATTCTAACTTTTTAACTAAATTTTTGACCTGTCTGGATTTCTATTAAAAAAAAAATTACATCCTTTAGTTGAGATAATAATTGAGGGAGTCAAACAGAAAATGGCTATTCAGGCCTCTGCCTGGATTCAATAAAGACTCGATACGGATGGACACACAAATTTGGCTTTTCACCGACTCTTTTTAGAGCAAAGCAAATGGTCCAATATTCCCACACTAACAATTGATTCTGAAAACCAGAGTAGCAGTACTTTTTTAAAATTCAAAAATCTGAGTTGGCTTACCTCAAACAAAACGTGGCACTAACTAATAAGCACTCACACAAAATGGAAGCCAACAATTTAAAAAAAAAAAAGAAAATATAATATTTATATCAGTGACGCTTTAACCTTTCTCTGGCCCGTAAGTCAATTATTTGATATATGGTCGAAACGTCCTGAAAGAAAATGATGGCATTGAGCTCCCAGCCTACCAATCACCACATATGGATGCTGGGGACTAAGTGTACTGTTGGGTGCTTCGGAAGAACAGCTACATGGCTTGGGATCAAATCCATTAGCGAGGAAAAGATGCATAAAGGGTTGCAACTCTAAGGAAAATTCGCACCACGTTGCTTGTGCATGTCCTACAAGCTCAACAACAACAAGGTACGACTTCGTGGTACACTGGACCCTTAAGACACTGCTCAAGTCCCTGGATGCTCCAGAAGAAGCTCAAAGAAACTTACAATTTGGCAAAGCAGCGCAAACACTAACAG